GACGCCGCCCTGTTCGAGGTTTCCGACGCTCCCTTCGAGGACACAGCGAGCGAGGACGGGGAGGGCGAGTGGAGGCGGCGGAAGCTGCAGGAGATCGTCTCCGACATTCTTTCGCAGCGCAAGCGACTGAAGAGCAAGCGCAGCGTGTTGGTGATTAACTGGTCGGATCTGGAGGCGGACAAGGGTGGTATTGACCTGAGGCCTTCTATCGAGGAGGACGAAGAGGAGGAGGAGGAGGAGGAGGTCCCGAAGGGGCGGCGTGTCGGGAGACGTGGTGTGAACCTTTCGAAAAGCCGCAGTGTTGCTTTGCCCGATCCGCCGACGGCTCTTTTAGCCAGACGCGAAAAAAGTAAGGCTTCGGTCAAGCGGAATGCCTCAGTGCAGCCGCGTAACCCAAGTGCCGTGCCTGATTTTGATGAGGACTTGTATTTCCACGACGACGCAGACGATCAGCCGATTCTTCTTCCTCGTCGTCAGCAGAAACGCCCTGTGGTGAATCGCTCCCTATCTCAACTCGAGCGGGAGACAGATGACGTGCTGTTTGACGAGGAGATAGCGCGTCAGGTGGCGCGCAAACCACCTCAGGTCCATCGCGGGCGACCAAGGGGCAGTACCCAAGCCGCTCGCTCGAACGGAAAGGGCACTTTTCCTCCCTCCTCTGTCCGTCGTGTCGGGAGACCCCCCTCCACCCGCTTTCACAACAACAGCAACTACGACATGGCCAATGAGGACATCGACGAGAATGAGGAGCCCTTTGCAAAGCCTACGCGAGCTAAGCGCACCCGATCGGCCGCTCCACCCGCTCCACCCACTAAACATCCGCAAGCCAGTGCGGATGATCCCATGGCTGTTTTCTTCGAGGCCGCCTTCCCGAGTCCCTCAAAGTTCGACGATATGCTAATGCAATCCGGTGGCCTCCCCGAGGCGCGACGGAATCACGGCCGTGGTCGTAGCCGACAACCTAATTTAATCCTTCCAGCTTCGATTATTCGACATAGATAGGAGTGAGGGAAGATGAAGTGATGTGGGCGGACGGAGGGTGGTGCTGTGTATTTTCCTTCCCTGACATAAAGAAGTGGAAACGGTAGCGAGGGATGTCGATGAAGAAATTTCTATTCTTCGTTTTTTTTTGTCTTGTATTTGTCTTACATTTGTCTGAATGTAAGAATTTTTTGAATCCATGTTAGAATGTGTAACAACAACCGTACACGTAGTTTGTCGTAGGGTATTCAAACTCGTCTTCCATTGTGTTGTTTAGAATCCACGCTATAAAAGAAAAGAAACACATTGATGAGTCGAAAGGGACTTTAAATTATTAAAATCTTAGAAGTACGATTGAATGGAAAGAAAATATAGATAGATGCTCCAGTATTTTTCGGTATTAATTCGTTTTTCCCGTTGATACCACATCGCATCTTGCAATTGGTGATTAGAAGCTAAAGGATTCTTCCTTTTTCCCTCGCGGACTATATAGAAGGCTTTGTGGTTGATACAAAAAACTATCTAAACCATTTTATGATTCTTATTATCACATTTTTTCCACAGTATGTGCATCGTATATTCGTGTGGTTATTACTTCTTTCACTTTCTGTCAACTCGCACACACCGTTTATCTTACTCTTTCCCCCCCTTTTTTTTTGAAGTTTAGAGTTTTTTAGTTTTCCTGATTATCATTCGTCCTGGAACCTTTTGATAGTGTATGGCGTTAGACGGTGATGCCTCTGGTAGCATCCCCACCCTTCTCATCCCTGATAACCTTGTGGCTGCGGTGGTTAGTGGGGGAGCGGAGCTCGTTGTGGAGCATCGTGAGGGCAACCCCACCTTAAGACGCATCTTTCTCCACATCTTTGACGATTTTGAACGCCATGAGGCAGTCCAGCGGAGCGCCGCGGATGCGACAAGCGATCCATTGCACAAGGTGCATCTTGAGAAGTTGAAGGAACTTAGTTGGGCGCGATCGACGGTGTGGTCGGACTGGAGGATGCGGGAATACCTGCCTAGCAGCGATTCACTTCTTTGGCCCTCCACTGATCAGCTGCAGAAGGTGGTAGAGGTGGTGAAGCAGCTGAAGCTGTTTGCCGATAACCCCCCAGACAGGTGTGGTGGAGATGCCCTTTCCAGGGCGATTGCAATTATAGAATCAGAAACGAGGTTTAGCGGCCTGCATGAGCTCCGAAAGGCCCCTGTGGCGGGTGTCCTCACGCCGTATCACGTGGAGAGCTGGGCAAACGTGGCGTCGTCGGCGCGGGAGATGCGTCTGCCTTCCACCCTCTCGCGCAGCTCCGACGCCGTCAGACCCGACACCCCCCATCTCCTCCTCGTGAATAGCTCCGAGATGATCGTTTCGGAGGTAATCGACCTCCCACAAACGGCTCGCACGCAGGAGACGCTCATTCGTCTGCTCGCCCTGCCGCCCGAGCTCTCTGCGCACCTCTCGGGCGAGAATTCCGCTATGCTCAAGTGGAGAGAGCTGGTTTCATTGCACCGACGTTGCTTAATGAAGAACGAGATTGGGCTGATACGCAGCGTTCAGGAGAACATGCGGATTTTACAGCTTTCCGAGAGCACCTTGGCGGAGCTGATGCGAGCGGCGGCATCCAAGGATGCGAGGGTACGGCTACGGGTTGGGGTTTACGCTACCATCGTTCATTTTCAGCGGGTTGTTTTAGTCTTGACGAGCCACCCAAAGGGGCAGCTAGACGGGCCTGAGGTGGAGGCTCTGCAAGCCTTCGCAGAGAGAGAGGCGGCGACTGGACCTTTTGCGGGATGTCCTCTTGGAATGTTGGTGGTGATGGAGCGGAATCCGAAGTCGGCGAATGCCGTCGCGCGCGTGCTCAGGGAGGATTTTTTGAGCCCCGTGTTACGGGAAATTCCGCAGGAGAAGTGCTGCTCCGTCACGGATGGGATTCCACTTAGCGAAAAAAGCATGGCGTTTGTTGCGGCCGCACCCTTTAACCCGCATGTGGTAATTCATGGAAGCCGTGTGGAGGGAGGGTTTACGGGATCTGAGGAGACTTTTGAGCGCTTTAAACGTCAACGCGAGGACGTGGCGGAGGAGCAAACGGTGATGCAGCTGCGCACGGCTTACGAGCGCCCGTTGCAGGATTCGAGTGCTGGGTGGGAGGATCGCACTGCGGTCATGGGCGCCTCAGCGGCTGTGTCGTTCAGCTCATCCACGCTCACCGGCGAGGAGCTCAGCGCTGCGTTTGAGAGGAAGGTGTTGGAGATTCTCACCGTGGAGCCGCTAAGCCGGGCAGACCTTGCTGCCCACCCGGGTCTTCTTCAATGGAAGAGTCAGTCCTCGTTTGATGGACTTTTGAAATCGTGCTTGAAAAAGCACGCCGTCTACCAAGGTCGAAAGTACGCCTTAAAAGATTGACCAATCTGGGGGATCGTAATCAAAGGGGACAAGGTAAAGATGCAGAAAGACCTTTCATTAGTTTGCTACTCGTTGGTTGTCGACAAAATTTTGATTGTATCCGCGTGTGGTTTGATTAAAATTTTTTTATTTTCGTTGTTGGTGTGAAGGGTGGAAGCTTTATGATTCATATAATGCGGCCAACGATATCTTTTCCCCTTTCCTCCCCTCTACGTCACTCAAAGAGGGTGTATTTGTATTTTCCTTTCCCTGTATCCTTCCTCCCATTTTATTGCAAAACTGCCACGTAATCGAAAGCGAAAAGTGCTAACGATACAAAATTTAAAATCTCATCAAAATGAAACACCAGCTGTAAAGTGTCTACCTTAGTGCATGCCTACACTCACATCTTATCCCCTCTTCTTCTGTTATTACTTCTTTTTGTTGATTTGGCAGTATTATACTTTAGAATGGGCAGAGGGGCACGCTCGAAGAAAAGCGGTCGGCCTGTTGTAAAGCGACAGTACAAACCAGACAATGATGCGCAGGTGGTAGACCCTGAGTTGGTTGAGCGGTTTCGCAACACGCGCCAACCGATTCGCAAGTCTGCCCTTTACACCGAAATACTGAAGCAAAAGAAGGATGCAAAGCGTACGCGGCGTGAGACTCGAGAGCGCGAACGCAAGACGCTAAAAGACAAGGCTCCAGCAAAGGAGATTCCAAAAACCAAGGAACGGCTTCGCTACCCTGATGTAACCATGATTGAGGACAAGGATGATCTCGAGATCGTCAGAGATGAAGCGGACGACGAATTCTCTAGTTTCTTTAGGGAAAAAAAGAATCCAAAAATCCTCATCACCACTGGAGAGCATCCGTGTTTCCGAACCAAGGAAATGGTAAAAGAGCTGATGTGGTTACTACCCCATACAACTTACCGCCCACGCAAGTCATATAGTCTAAAAGAGATCACCCAGTTTTGTATTAATCGAGAATTTACAGACTTGATCGTTGTAACGGACCGCCTGAAGCAACCCTTTAATCTTATAGTTTCGCATCTCCCCGAAGGACCGACCGCGCTGTTTCGAATCTCTAATTTTTTAACCTATAAACAACTCGAGAATCCAGCGCCGCGGACAAAGCACTATCCGGAACTGATTTTAAAGAATTTTGATACCCGCTTAGGACGCCGTATCGCTCGTATGTTTGAATGCTTGTTTCCTAGCACACGAGATTACGCTGGTCGCGCGGTAGCAACCTTTCACAACCAGCGTGATTACATCTTCCTGCGCACACACCGGTATATTTTTGATAGCTTGGAGGCAGTGCGGCTGCAGGAGATGGGGCCGCGCTTTACTCTTAGGTTGCTATCCTTACAGTCTGGCACTTTCGATGCTCAGTTTGGTGAGTATGAGTGGTTTAGAAAGAAGGAACACGATTCGGACAAACTGGAATGGTACTTGTAGTTCCGAGGCCCGCCGAATCGTGAACGCTAATCAGCGCACAAAAAACGGTGTGCAAAGTGACATTCTTTTGCCATTAATGCGCGAATTCACGCGTTGGCGCCTCAGACAGGTAGCGGTACATGTTTAGGCGTTTATAATTTCTATTGCACATTTTTGGTGTAATTTTTTTCCTTTCTTTTTGTGATTACCACTTTTATGTGTACTTTAAGAACGATTAATGGCGACCTAAAGATAATCCTATTCAATATTAAAGGTATAGCTGTGGGCATCAAAGCTGGACTGTTTCGATGTATGCACTGTAGCACGCTAAAGTTTTTTAATCACTGGAGTTCTGTTGCTCATTTTTTTATTCTTTACTTTTTTATTCTTCATACCGTTTATTCACTACATTCGGGTAGCATGCCTTGTATAGTAGTATTTTCCAGTGTAACATTGTACTTGATGTAGATTTGACAGTCATCAAAGTCAACTAGTACATCCCCCCCCTCCCTCTTATTCCCCACAGGGGTTGGTAAACGATAAATGTCATCATCTGATCGAGTGTTGCAGGTCATGGAGCAGCTCAGTCGCCAGAATCCTTTCAGTGGAAGTGCCAATCTCACAAATCCGCTGCGGCCTGATGAGAAGAACATCCCCAGCGACCTCCCTCCCGCGGAGCGGCTCCCCCATGTCCAGCGCCAGATCGATCTTCTCTGCTACAACCGTCTCCCGCAGACCTTCTTCAACCTGGAGAAGCACCGCCCCCTGCGGAGTATCCTTATGACCGGCAAGGAGACCCTCCGCGAGGCGTTGCCGATTCGCTGCCTCGAGGCCACCTTCGTCGCGCTCTACCTGACGCAAGGGATGAAGGACGTGGTGCGGATCCCCCTCTCCTTCCGCACCCAGGTGAAGGGCACCCTCTACCAGCACATCGTCCTCGTCGTCCACGTCCGCCACCCCGCCCCACGCTTTGGTGCCCTCGGCCTCAGCCGCAAGCGCAGCCTCATGTACAAACCCCTCACCTTCGCCGCCCTCTTCGACCTCGTCCTGGACTACAAACAGGCCTACCAGAGACTGGGACACCGGCTGCTGGACATCAAACTCGGCCTCGCCGTCCCACACGAC